GGCTGTAGCCCGCCCAATAATGTTGAACAGCCTCCTTGTGAAATTTCACCATATATATTCTATAAAAAGTGTGTTAAAGTGCACATGACACCTTTTAGAAAAACACTTTTATCCGAAAGGTAACACGCTGCCAAGTAATTCTGTGAAGAAAGAAATAGATTTTGAATTGTATTTTCTGTACCTCCTCGCCGCTAAACCAAAAATAATGAGGTTAGAAAGAGAATGGTTAGCTAAATTAAAGTGGCGGGAAACAGGTTTATTGAGATCGTTGTTTGTACGAATATATATCGATGTTCAAGGATACTATCGCCAAGACGACGTCCAGTCTCACCGACATACAACAAATTACAGACCGAATATGATTTAATGCAATAGACAACATTACAAATAGGAGTGATAAGTTAGGATCAACAATGGAAGTAAGTGTGCGAGACAATTTACAGACAAGTGTAACAACGAAAAGTGAGCAACGAAAAGTGCCAGGATCATTATTGGAATGTAAAACACCTTTGACTAGGAAAGAACGAAGGTTACGGTCACGTTTATTAGAAAAAAGGGGTCGGTCGTTAAAGATGTGAGAAGTGTTAGTGAGTAAAATGTAATTACGATTAATAAAAGGCTTCATAGAGCTGTTAATAGGATGATATGTAAGAGTGAAAGCAATACGGCTATTGGACGCAAGATTATTAGGTGTGAGAGCAGTGTTACGATCCATTGCGAGAGACTTTACGCAGAGCTTGGTCAATAACATGACGAGGATAGTTGCGATAAAGGAAAAAGGAAGATGGAGATGCGGCTTAATCACTTATTGGGCACTTTAAATCCAATGGGTTAAATAAAAGCTTTGTTTTCAGATAATTTTAATATCTTTGTTCTCTTCTTTAGCACCTCTCTTGTTCATTTCTCTAACACATCTCTTGCTATAATTGTTTATTTAATTTCTCGCTACCATGCCTGTCTTTTAGCATATTTTTCATCTTTTTACTCCGACGAAAGATTAACGTCCGAAACATCAGTAAGTTGTTTCACCTATTTTTTTGTCTTTTTGTTGCATGACAAGTTGACGATGCATGAAAAACGATAAACTGCGATACTCAACTTGAACAGAAACAATGTTACGCGCCAAGTCGATGGTTTTTGTGTCTCGTATTTAGCTCAGCCTTTAATTTCATTTTATTGAAACAAAGCAACTTCTAGCACCTGTTTCGTCAGCCATTTCAAGCTGTGCTATAGTTACAATGGTAAATAGAAATCGAGAAATCTGATGAGCATGCCAAGATTATGAGGTAAGCCTTTAAAAACTGGTTTTTTTTCTACTGAAAATATCGGACGAAGTCCAAATAATGCATTCAACCTGTTATTAAAGTATCAAATAAAAAAAAACAAAGTAATTTATATCATTACGAATGTGAGTAAGAGCTACAAAAAGAAATAAAGATAATGTACTAAGTAAGACAAACAGGTTTGTTTTGTTTTGGTTTGTTTTGAGGCCGCTCTTGATAAAACCCCAGCCAATTTACACATCGCTAAATCAGTTTATGTTATATAAAAAAGGGTTTCTTTTATGAAACCAAACAAAAGTCGTTATATAGTGATTTACAGCTACATTTGTATGTTTGTCTGTCTTTTTTCCCACCTTTTATCTTATATTATCATTAACATCTATAAATTGGAATTATTAGAATGGTAAGTTATGTAATAAACATTTAAGCGCCGAATTTTAGCAGAGCTTCTGTGAGAGGACAATTACCACCTGTTCTGCCTTGAAAAGTTGCATTACCGACATTATCTAGTCAGTGGCGAGTRAAACTCGAAACATCTACTGATTTGTGAAAACGCGAGGTAAGTTTGAAATATTTTTCTTATTTTTCTTTAATTCTAAAAAGCAAAATGTTTCATACTGTCAAAAAAACACTAATAATCTCTTTTACCATTAGAACGATGACCATTATGCATTATCACGTTTTCCAGTCTCAATAGCTGAAAAAATAGTATTTTTCAAGCAGTACATATAATAGTCATAGTTGCCTAAAAAGCAAATTCTAAATGACAAATAAATATATGAGTGACCAAGAATGAGATATCACTAATTAAATGGGTTACCATGCAAAAAAGTATGACGGATATAAAAAATATTATATGAAAACATTCTACAGTTTAGACTCTTCTTTAGAGAAGTTTCTGGCAAGTTCCCTCCAATCATTGGCTTTGTAGTTATATATCAAATGTCCGTCGAAAACGYATTCAACATTGGTAGTTACGTAACAGAGACAAAGTAGTTATCTGGGCATCAAAACTGAGAATATTCCCTTTAGCTTTTATTCGATTTATTTTCACAGGAGTATGTAGCGAACTTCATATTTTCTCTCGACAATTTCTTTCCGAACATTCATTAACTTTCTGAATTGCATAAAAAACAACTTACACACGATATAATTTAAGACAGAAAGGTACTTTAGTAATGTCGATTGAGTTTGCATTACAATGTGATTTAAGTTTGTAGGCTGGTTCTCTCCCTTGCTCCGAGGGTTTTTCTCCAGATACGCTGGTTTTCCTCCCTCAGTCAAAAACTAGCTGTGAGGAGTGTCGTATGCTAAAACAGTTAATGCTGAGGTAGAGTGTGTGAGTTGCATCAGAGTTGAAGAACCACCTAGTAGATACACTGTGTTAAAGTATTATTAGTATAGGTAATAGCGTGTTTTGTAGTGGTATTTGGGATAAATACCACGCGTGATATTTCAAAATTGTTAAAAAAAAATTTCACGAGCGAAAAAAATTATATAAAATGGTTGACTAATATTGTGCAATTTGAAATACCACTATTAAGGATAAATTCCACTCCTCTAAGCCAATCAAATTGCACAATTTTATTCAACCTTATAATAATTATTACTCGGGATTCCTGTGGAACCGCGAGTTTAGGTTTCGGCGTTATGTTTTTTATTTTTATTTTTTTTCGCATTCATCGCCAAATCGCGGCCAGACTAGCCAGGCGTTCCTAGCCCGTCTTGTCTCGTCCCACATCATGGGAATCCTACTGGCCATGTGCCAATGTGCTTATTGCATTCTTCGTCGATYGACTTATGGTATTGCTTCTTCTTCAAAAAATACGCTCAAATCACTTACAAATCCACAAACAATTCGCGGTATAGACACACTAAAAGATGTCGAGCGTTTTCGGAATGACCTTTTTGAAATCGCGAATTTATCAAGCTTATTGTGTTATGATACTGACAAGCCATTAATCTATCCAAAGCCATGAACTACCTTCTGTCTTAAAAGCTACTGATAGTTTTTATTATCCTTTGCAAGAGTTAAATAATTGTGGTAAATTTATCAAGTCAAAATTATATAATTATTATGCTATCAACTGGACTGAGAATTATTGTATTTCTGGTCACGGCAAGAATAAATGAAACTACAGAAGGAGCCGACGGGGGGGGGGGGGGGGGTTTGTTTTTCTAAATTAACTGTTCTTGTACGATTTTTTTTTCCTGGGAAAGAAATTTTTAATTAAATTGTTGACAAACTCACAACAAAATGTGGCGCCACCAAAAAATATAATTGTGGTTATAATTAAAGGGACACTGTCAATGGCACGCATGCGCGAGTAAACTTGAAAACATTATGACTCCAAGTTGGCGCGACATAAATCAGCTCGTAAACGTAAACAGATCTAGAATATTCCAAAGTGTGTCAAAAGCACCACAAAATGATTTACCTCGAAGGTAACACTTTCAAAGTCCGTTAGAGGTGAGACTGTTACCGTGCATGTCATCCATTGACAGTGTCCCTTTAAAATGAAAAACGTGGTCAAGAGACTACACTAAAAAGAACCCCGAGTGCACGCTGACAAGCGTCTTGTTATTATTACAAAGGGACGTCGACCAACGCAAACTGATTGTTTTCATTTCATGTGGCTAAGTTCTGATGTATCCGTTGCTGTCTATCAATGATTTGCACCATCCCCAATTTCCTTTCAGTTAAAAAGTGACACTATTTTGTATTTCCTACTGTGGGATAGAGAGTAAAACTACTAATTACATTCCCGTCAGTCTATTGGTAAATGGTCAGATACGATGATTCTTTCTGGAGTAT